CAATTCCTACCAGAGGACCTTGTGCTGCATTTTTCGCAGTCGTTCCTGGTTAGGTTTTAAAATGTATATATTCTCACTTGGATTACAAACCCTAACATTCTAATATTAATTCCACCAAGTGAAGTGCAAGAATCGAAATCCCAGGTATATACCTAGCATGTGTATTACCCGCATTCTAAAATTTAGAATATTGGTTAAGTACCCATTTAGAAGTAGCGAAACGGGTGCGCAAAACTTCCCATGTGTTTGTCCAATACAATTTGTCTGGAATTTCAGACTGACCTCCTTCGAATTAACGCGACCGCGCGTACGAATGAGGGACTGTGGAAGAGTCAGTCTTTAGGTTAGCATAATCTCAAGTGCCAAGTTCCATTATGGTTTTGATATACACATATATAGTTAGATTCTTCACATGACGAGATCATTGAGATGTGGTTATAAACTTCAAAATTGTCGCGAGTGTTACTTTAACCCAATGTATAAACAGTGGTCTGGCTTTCGGATGCAACGTGCTTCGCTGGACATGTAAATTAATTCGTACACGACAAACTTCGGTATTTTGCTGGTGTGGGATCTTTTACAGAGAAAACGGAAATACTTGCACACTTCACTTACTGCAGTTGTGTACTGTATTTACATAGAAGCTCGGAAAAATTGACTGACAAGAACCCGCTTATTCTTGACTTATGTTTGTTTTGTTAGCATTATTTTGGATGTATTAATTCCATAACAGCTATTAGTTATACCAAAGTTATACCTTAATGCACGATTTTGAACAAACATTCAGCAGCTACAAAAATACAGTCAATAGCGAAAACGGTTTAGTGCATATGACATGAAATTTCTTATTTTCTTAAATGAATTAAGAACTTTTTAAGTTGTAGTGTAACTTATTTTTCAGTTTCTTGTTTTTATGGTTTGTTCCCGAGATATTTCAATTTGTTTGATATGTAACTGAGTGTGAATATGTCCGCTAATTTATGACGTCATGTTGGTTGCAAGCTCTTCAAAATGGTTGAATATCACTGCTATCATCCAAGATGATAATTTCAAACTTCACTCACTGGTAAATGTGATGAAACATTGGAGAAAAACGTAAACTGAAATCAACAGTTTTTAGAGTTAATACATTTACAACCAGTGTAAGTTGAGCTTGCAACCAACATGACGTCATAAATTAGCGGACATATTCACACTCATGATATTTGCTGTGTTGGTGTAATGTACTCAGGTGAATAAGATGCTTGTGTGATGTTACTCTGAGTGTATATCCACACCGGGCAGGCTTGAAAAATATGCCTGGCCACGGTGGGATTCGAACCTACGACCTTTGAAATACTAGCCCAATGCTACGCGGTCGTGGGCTAGTATTCCAAAGGTCGTAGGTTCGAATCCCACCGTGGCCAGGCATATTTTTCAAGCCTGCCCGGTGTGGATATACACTCAGAGTAACATCACACAAGCATCTTATTCACCTGAGTACATTACACCAACACAGCAAATATCATGATTATTAGATTACACTGATATCGAAGGAACTAGACTCAGTTCCGAAATATCGCATACTCGAACCGACCTGACCGCGTAGCTCAGTTGGCAGAGCATTGGGCTAGTATTCTAAAGGTCGTAGGTTCGAATCCCACCGTGGCCAGGCATATTTTTCAAGCCTGCCCGGTGTGGATATACACTCAGAGTAACATCACACAAGCATCTTATTCATTCACACTCATTTACATATCAAACAAATTGAAATATCTTGGGAACAAACCATAAAAACAAGAAACTGAAAAATAAGGCCATATAAAAAAAAATAGTTGGTTAGCGTCCTTAGCTTTTGCCAACAAGTGGGCGGGCGGGCGCTTTTTTTTAATTTTTACTAATTTTTAACGCCTTGATTTTACTCACTGTTAGGTCCGAAACTGGATTTTCTTGCGCGGTACAGATATTTTTTTATATATTTCAAAATATAATTCATACCGTCATTTTCGCAAGCAATTTCGCAAATTATTAACACAATTGACTACAGTCAACAGAAATACTACATATATTAGAGCCCGTTGATCAATAAAAGTCGTGTTTTTTTTAAATAAAAAATAAAAAAAAATCCTGAGCGAGGCCTTTTTTGTGGGCGGGCGGGGACGTTAACCAATTATTTTTTTTTATGTGGCCTAAGTTAGACTACAGCTTAAAGAGTTCTTTCATATAAGAAAATAAGAAATTTCATGTCATATGCACTTTAAAAAAAGGGAAGACTAGTTTTGCAAATCAATCATACCTTCTCCTGCGTAGCAAACATTTATGAATGATTGCATTTGACACAATATATCAATAAAGGATGCGAAAAGCGTGGCCAGACATATTTTTCAAGCTTGCCCGGTGTGGATATACTGCACTCAGAGTAACATCACAAGCATCATATTCACCTGAGTACATTGCACCAGCACAGAAACGTCAACGGTTCAAAAATGATAAAATAATATTGTTGATTCCTTTAACCAACGTGTACACAAAAAGTTACGAAGCAAGCAGGCGCTCTTGGTTTATAAAGTTTCCTCCTGTAGCAGCTGGTAACACACTGGACCAATGAAGAATAGTCCTTAAGGCTAATTTCCACTCAGGAAAATTATCCGTGGATTGGAACGGACAAGAAAATTTTTCTTTCTGTTAAAGTCATTAGTTCCAATCTCACCTGAAGACAAAGAAAAATTGACTTGTCCGTTCCAATCCAATCCACGGATAATTTTCCTGAGTGGAAATTAGCCTTTATACTGAACCTTTAGGGAGAAGAGTTTAGACCTGACAATATACATGCTAAAGTTTCCTATATAGTTTCTGTACTTACATAATAAAAGACCTAAGTATTTTTACGGCAAACGTCAAACCGCTAACGAAGTGTTTGATATTGCAACTATTATAACAGTTTTTATACACCATGCAGTTTTGAAATATATTAAACAATTATTAAACTTGTTAGTCCGTGTGTTGTGACCCGATATCGTTCACTTTCATTAAGCATGTCTTAGATCTGAAATATTTTTGCGGGAACTAACACTTTCGAACACGCTGAGTTCAAATCCGAAAAGTTCCCACTCCGTAGACCCGCAGTTTTTTCACAAAATGCTATTTCATCTTCACTAATTTCACAACAATTTTTTTCATTGTTCGACGACACGGATCGATGACGATACACGATTATGTCACTCAAAAGGACCAATTTCTATTAAACATTCTTCCTTCTAACAAAAGATCGGTTTTGCTCGAATCATTTTGAGTCATGCAATCTTATGCGTGTTGAACGTAAACAACATATCTTGTCTACAACTTTGAGAAGGTACAGATAACGCTTTCTAAAATCCTCAGTTCTAGAGATATCTCTATAAAATCACAAGGACATTAATATCAAGTCTTTTAGCTATATCACTGGCCTGAAAAATAAATCTTTTAACGCGATCAAGATATTTAAAACAAAAGCAACGCGAAGCCAACGTAACGGCAAAGACAACGCTAAAACGAAATATTGTCGAATGGTTGCAGGTAGAAGACTTACGACAGCATCAATCTTAAATAACCTTAAACTATAAGAATAAATGTTCACATCAAAGACAAAGATCAGTCACAAAGTATAAAATATGCTCTGTAAACTTACCGCGAAGTGGAGAAATGTGTACATGAGCTGTTTATTTGATGATTTCGACGTATATAGAAGCCCTCTTTCCAATAATACTCGCTTATCGCACAGCATAACACCAACTCATATAATAGTTCAAATGCAATGATAAGTTATCTCTTGAATTACGTCTTGGAAACCGTGTTGGAAATTTCAATGCTGATCCATTACATATAGATTACCGTTTTATATTTTTGTATAAAACATTTTGATCGCATGTAAGAATTATTTCTCATTCCAGAGACATAGCACAAAGACTTGACATTAACGTCCTTGTGATTTTATAGAGATAGATCCAGAACTAAGGATTTTAGAAGGAATTATCTGTACCTTCCCAAAGTTGCAGACAAAATATGTTGTTTACGTCCAACACGCATAAGATTGCATAACTCAGAATGATTCGAGCAAAACCGGTCTTTTGTTTAAAGGAAGAATGGTTAATAGAAATTGGTCCTTTTGAGTGACATAATCGTGTATCGTCATCTATCCGTGTCGTTGAACAATGAAAAAATTTGTTATGAAATTAGTGAAGATAAAATAGCATTTTGTGAAAAAACTGCGGGTCTACGGAGTGGGAACTTTTCGGATTTGAAATCAGCGTGTTCGAAAGTGTTAGTTCCCGTAAAAATATTTCAGATCTAAGACATGCTTAATGAAAATCTTTTTCTAGCCACTTTTCGAGGTCACAACATACGGACTATGTGTTCTTTAACAATTAATGATTTAAGAAAGCGAATTAACCATTAGTCACGTATTCACCAAAGCAGTAAATTAAGATCTGGCGTTTGAAGTTTACGTTTGGTGTATAAATTTCCTGCGTGCTTGAACTGCTAGTGTACAAGGGTTTGTATATATTCAGTTGAATTTTAAAGAAAGCGATTTTGTCATGCATATATAAATAAATAAATAATCACACGGGCAAGTCGTGCAATTAATGATTACTGTCGTTCCAATTGAAGTGTTCCTCAAATATTGATTCAATACATTACCTCGGGCTGACCAATTCATTTGATCAAGTACCTCGAGATATTCATACACTTCCTAGTATAATTGTAAACTTCCTGTTGAATAGTTTGAATGCACCAATCAAATTTTGCTGTTTGTGCAACTAACCAATCATAAATAGAAAGGAAGTGACCAGAAATGATCAAATACTTGGAATTGGCTCTTTCACAGGAAGTGTATGAATATCTCGAGGAACTTGATGAAATGAATTGGTCAGCCCGAGGTAATGTATTGAATCAATATTTGAGGAACACTTCAATTGGAACGACAGTAACACTGCTCGTGATATTTGAAATATGTGCCAAATTGCACTCGCCTTAATCATTAATTGCACTCCTTCCCGTGTGATTACCTATTGCAAATAGGAAAAAACATGAAATGTCTATATATCAGTTCCGTAAAACAGAAGTCTAGTGTGGCTGCTTAAGGATTTTCCAGTAAGCTCGGTCGTAGTAACTGACATCCGTTCCGATACATCTCGGCGCCTCGAATCCAGAGCTTGCTAACCAACCACCTTCGTCGCCTCGCTTGCCCTTGATTTCGGGGCCATCTTGGAACAAATAACGTTCAGTTTCAACATTGACTATAAGATACTTGTCACCTTGCGGTTCGATCTTCCAATAAGCTCGGTTGTAGTAATCGGCGTCCGCTCCGACACATTTCGGCGCCTCGAATCCAGAGCGTGCTAACCAACCGCCTTCATCGCCTCGCTCGCCCTTGATTTTCGGACCATCTTGGAACAAATAGCGCTCAGTCTCGATATTTTCGATTAAATATTTGTCATCGCCTTGTGGCAAGAAGCGCCAGCACGCTCTGTTGTAGTAATTGGCATCAGCACCGACACATTTCGGGGATTCGAATCCAGAGCTTGCTAACCAGCCACCTTCGCTGCCTCTATCGCCCTTGATTTTCGGACCGTCTTGGAACAGATATCGTTGGGTGTAGACGTTCTCGATAAAGTATTTTTCACCGTCGGAGAAGGACATTTCAGATCAGTTTTCTGCTTTAATTTCACGAATGAACTGAGTCGTTGGCTGTGCACATTACACTGTGCAAGGCCACAAGTGTCACCCTCTTTACTGAATACAGTTTATATCTACCTACAAATCACGTACGGCTGACGTCACAGCATGGGTTGACCTCGACACGTACAAGGTATGATGCTGTTGGTTGATTCACAAAAGTTCCCATATACGTTTGTCCACTACAATGACTGGA